ATTTAATGTTGAAAAATGCAAAGTTATGCACTAGGGTGTAAAGAATACACAAGCAACGTATACCCTTAATGGAAGCGAATTAGGGATAACAACACATGAAAAGGACTTGGGAATTGTTATAGACAACAAACTATGCAACAATGCAACGTCCACCGTCCCACCAACGCTAACACGCACCAGCGCAACGCGCCCGCCGCCGCACCGCGTCCTGCCGCCCATCGCGCAGCCCACGTGAAATCTATTCACAAACCGGATCTTTACATATAGGACACAAGGCCACGCGCTTTAGGACTCGGAAGAAAGAAGATTTCTAAGACAAAGAAAAAAGGTTTTTACTGTAAGGAAAACAATCAGGATGTGGAATTCCTCTGCCCAGTTGAAATGGTTTTATCAGAGTCCATACAGATGTTCAAACGGCTACTAGATGCATACTTTGCAAGAACAGAATATTCAAGGATATAATCTTTCAATGTAGGGTAATAACTGCTTGATCCAAGGATAAATCTGACTGCCATTCTGGGGTCAAGAAGGAATTTTTTTCCTAGCTTGTTGCAAAATTGTGCTTCAACCTGTTTTTTTTGGCCTTCTTTTGGATCAACAGCAAAAAACAAATATGAGGTAGGCTGAACTTGATGGACGCAAGTTTCTTTTCAGTTATGTAACTATGTAACAGAATGGCTTAAACAGAAGAAAATACGCCTTCTGAAGCGGCCCAGTCAGAGTCCTGACCCCAACCTGATTGAGATGCTGTGGCATGATCTCAAGAAAGCAATTCACACCAGACATCCCAAGAATATTGCTGAACTGAAAAGAGGAATGGTCAAGAATTACTCCTGACTGGTGTGCACGCCTGATCTGCAACTACAGGAAACGTTTGGTTGAAGTTATTGCTGCCAAAGGAGGTACAACCAGTTATTAAATCCAAGGGTTCACATACTTTTTCCACCTGCGCTGTGAATGTTTACATGGTGTGTTCAATAAAAACATGGCAACATTTCATTCTTTGTGTGTTATTAGTTTAAGCAGACTGTGATTGTAGCGGAACGCCAATATTAAATCCACGAATTCCGCTGGTTCAGGAAATAATCCACAGTCAAGCGCTGAAACAACAAGGCAATATCCCCAACCTCCCAGTAACCGGACGAAACACAGTTCTGAGAGTCAACTGAAATCCTTTAATTCTGCTGCACAATTTATACAAGTCCCCATGCAAGGGGTTTCCTGAGTCCCTTCCCAGGGGCACTCCCAGAGGGGACTACATGGGGGACTTACATTACAGCATATTTCTCCCATCAGGCACTGCTGCACGAGAGGGGTCCTCCTCCCTGAACCCACCGTTAAGTGGATTATCCCCTCGTGCAGCAGAACCGACAATTTACACAAAAATCCATAACTTTGTGAATATACGGTGGATTTACACGAATGGAGGTTCGGTAGATAGCTGGGGTCTGAGCGCATCATTCGTGAGATTACCGCTCAGATCCCAGCTAAAATAACCGAACGCTGCACGAAAAACACATTTCTTATAAAACATATAAAAAGAACAGATTGCTTGCAGGGAACAAAATACCGAATGGCCCGAAACTCCCGAACGTCCTGGAGGCTCAGCGGTGTTAGTGCCGTTTTTAGTACCATGCGCTCGACGACCTAGCACCGCTGAGGGAACAAAGGATCCAAGATGGCCGACCGCCGCATGGTCGGTAGTCGAACGACGGCCACCCAGGAGAGCCTCTAATTACGCCTCTAAGTGTGTGGGCTATTAGGGGTATTGCGTTCGGTTCACGAACGGCCCTCCAAAGTGCCGTTCGTGAAACGAAAGAAAATCCCCATACAAACCGCCATTTGCATTCGGCAGATGGCAAATACAGGCAATTCAGACAATACATGTAGCATACAACATACAGAGTAAAGCACATATCTCCCCAGACCTATAGGCAACCCTTAAAGATATAGTCTCTGGTTATAGTCCAAGTGGCTAGGTTTGCCACAATGCTCCCCCAGAACCAAGCCGGCATACACAGTCTGATCCTAACGGATCGGCTTGGGGATGTCCGGAGGAGCGCTCACAGATCACTTCTCAAGGTCTGTTTGTCTGGATAACCCGTCGGCGTTACCGTTTTGTTTCCCTGGGCGATAATGGATCGTAAAGTCAAAGGGCTGCAGCGCCAAACTCCAGCGCAGCAGCCTGGCATTGTCCCCAGCCACACGGTTTAGCCATACCAACGGGTTGTGATCTGTGAGCAAGGAAAAGGGTTGCCCATAGAGATATGGCTGTAACTTTTTCAGGGCCCACACCACGGCCAGGCATTCTTTTTCTATGGCGGCGTAGCTCACTTCTCGGGGTAACAATTTCTGACTCAAATATGCTACGGGATGTTCTCCGCCATCTGCTCCGACCTGGCTCAGTACTGCTCCCAATCCAAACATGGAGGCGTCTGTGTGGACAAGAAAACGTTTAGTTGGATCAGGAGCAGCCAGTACAGGGGCATTGGTCAGAGCCGTCTTCAGTTGGTTGAATGCCTGTTCACACTCTGGGGCCCAGATGACCTGCCTGGGCAGGTTTTTCTTCATTAAGTCAGTCAGGGGTTTGGCCAGGGCACTGTAATTGGGCACAAATTTTCTATAATACCCGGTGGTACCTAAAAAAGCAAGGACTTGGGTTTTGGTCCTAGGGGTAGGCCACTGGGCTACAGCTTCAATCTTTGCAGGCTCAGGCTTCTGTTGCCCGCTACCGACCCGGTACCCTAAGTATTGGACCTCTGCCATCCCTATGTGGCATTTGCTTGGCTTCAAGGTAAGCCCTGCCTCCCGGATCCGATCTATTACAGCCCCTATATGTTGTAGGTGATCCGACCAGGTCTGACTGTAGATGGCAATATCATCCAGGTATGCACACGCATAATCCTGGAACCTGTCCAGTAGCCGATCCACAATCCGCTGGAAGGTCGCGGGGGCGTTCTTCATCCCGAATGGCATGACTCGAAATTGGTACAAGCCAAACGGAGTGACAAACGCCGACTTGGGAATGGCGTCTTCGGCTAGTGGAATTTGCCAGTATCCCTTACACAGATCTATTGTAGTGAGATACTGACCCCTGGCCATCCTATCTAGCAGTTCGTCTATCCGAGGCATCGGGTAGGCGTCCGACACGGTTTTGTAGTTCAACCTCCGGTAGTCCACGCAGAACCGGGTGGTACCGTCTTTCTTGGGAACCAGGACTACCGGCGATGCCCAGGGGCTATCGGAGTGTTCGATAACCCCCAACTGCAACATCTCTTCAATCTCCTTCCTCATATGTTCCCGCACGGATTCAGGAATCCGATATGGGGTCTGTCGCATGGGAAGCTGTCCCGGGGTTTCTACTCGGTGAGTGGCTAGTGGAATGTACCCAGGTAAGTTAGAAAAGGTGGCACCCTTTGTCGCTATCAGTTCTTGTACCTGGGTACGCTCTTGAGGACTTAGCCACTCCCCCAGTTGAACCCCCTGGGAGGGCTCCTTCTGCTCCTCCTGCTCTAACAGATCTGGAAGAGGCAAGTTCTCCTGATCTTCTGAGGCGGGCGTGCAAATAGCTGCCACGTCCTCAGTTCGCTCGTGGTAGGGTTTGAGCATGTTCACGTGGAGCATGTGTCTCTTCCCTACTCCGGAGCATGGGCCGATCACATAGGTGGTATCGCATCTCTGCTCTACCACCTGGTATGGACCCTGCCAGACGGCCTGTAGTTTATCGGTGCGGACTGGTTTGAGGATTAACACCTTCTGTCCCACTTGAAAACTACGGTCTCTGGCCCCTCTGTCATACCAACGACGCTGTCGTTGCTGGGCGGCTTGGAGGTTGGTGCGCACTGCCTGGGTTAATTCCTCCAGGCGATCCTGGAACGCCAGCACGTATGGTACAATAGGGGTCCCATCTGCGCTACTCTCTCCCTCCCAATGCTCTCTAATGAGATCCAACGGTCCCCGGACCCTTCTCCCAAATAACAGTTCAAATGGGGAGAAACCGGTAGACTCTTGGGGTACCTCTCTGTAAGCAAACAGATGGGTAAGGAATCATTCCCAGTCCTTATGGGTCTCTCCGAATGTCCGAAGCATCTGTTTTAGGGTACCGTTGAACCTCTCACATAACCCGTTGGATTGAGGGTGGTAGGCTGAGTTAATGGTTGGCTTAATGCCACATATCCTCCATAACTGCTGAGTAACCTCAGCCGTGAATTGTGTCCCCCTATCGGAGACCATTTCCTGTGGGAACCCTACTCGGGAGAATATTTTCATCAGGGCTTCGGCCACGGTCTCAGCGTGAATATTGGTTAAGGCAATCGCCTCGGGGTACCGGGTGGCGTAGTCCACCACGGTCAGTATATACCGCTTCCCAGAGGGGCTGGGTTTTGGTAGTGGCCCCACGATATCTACAGCTACACGGCTGAACGGTTCCTCAATTATAGGTAGGGGACACAGTTTCGCCTTGTGGCGATCCCCTCTCTTGCCTACCCTCTGACACACATCACAGGAGGTACAATAGTGTCTTACATCTTTAGAAATCCCGGGCCAAAAGAAAGCGTGCATTAAGCGATACCTAAGCGAAGCCATCCCTAAATGGCCGGACAGAGGGATGTCATGGGCTATTCTCAGTAACTCATGCCTATACTTCTGGGGTACTACCAGCTGCTTAGTTTGGAGCGTCACAGAGTTTCCTATTGCCCTTTCAGCCACCCGGTACAGTAACTTATTTTCCCAAATGTACTGTTCCCCTTCCCGCCCCACCTGGTCCGTGTCTACCCTATCTCGGTACACCTGCAGTGTGGGGTCTGTCTGAACCTCTGCTTCAAAAGTGGTTGGGGTGTCCCAGGTCATATTTGTCAAGGGGGGGTCATGGTTTCTTACCTGAGCCTCAGAGTGTGCTGGTGATGCCGTGGTGCGAGCCTGTTGTCGTGTAGTTACCGGGTGAGCCTCCTGTGAAGGGGCCTGGGGTAGGAAAGTGGAAGTCATCTGGCCCAAGTCATTCCCCAAAACAACATCTGCCGGTAACTTCTTAATTATTGCCACTTCTACAACCCCCTCCCCAGCACCCCAGTTCAAATGCACCTTGGCAGTGGGTAACCGGTACATGGCTCCCCCTGCTACCCGGACAGCCACTGATCCGCCAGTGTGGGCCGCATCTGGAACTAAATGTGGTGCCACTAAGGTCAAAGTGGCTCCCGAGTCCCTCAGCCCCTGTACTTCTTTCCCCCCCACAAACACAACTTGGCGGTGATGCTGCCTGTTGTCCGTGGCTTGCACAGACATCACTTCATATAGAACCCCCAACGGTTCCTCGGTTATCAGACTTGCCAGCTCCGAGTGGTCAGGTTCCGTGTGGTAGAAATGGGCCGCTGCCCTCGGGGCGGAGTTCTACCGTACCTGGTTCCACGCCTGCCTACTCCGATTCTGGGTGCACTCCCGGGACATATGTCCCCACTGCCGGCAGGTATGGCATTGTATGTTGGCTCTGCCATTGTAGCGGGATGGTGGTGGGGGGTTTCCGGGTGCTGGCCTGAATGGGGTAGGGTTGGCAGGTGTGGAGATGGTCGGGTGGTGTTGTACTGGCGGTCTCAGGGACCCCTGTTGGTGAGCCCATGGTGCCTCCGGGCATCAAAATGTTCATCTGCCAATCGGGCGGCTGCTGTGAGGGTGAGAGGTTTTCTGTCCCTTACCCACTCCTGTGCCTCCGGTGACAGGCCGTTAAAGAACTGCTCCAGCAGGATGAGTTGGCGCAGTCCTTCCATGGTGGTGGCTTGGCTTGCCTGAATCCACCCTTGTGAAGCTTGGTCAAGCTTATGCGCCCACTTTGCGCGGGAATCTCTTTCGGGCTTTTTCAATCCCCGAAATTTTCGCCGGTATGCCTCCAGGGTTATGGCATACCTTTCTAGAATTGCCCTTTTCACTTTAAAATAGTCCTTGCTGTCCTCTCTGGGCACAGCGCGATAAGCCTCTGCTGCTCGTCCTGCCAACTTGCCTGCCAGTAGGGGTACCCACATCGCCTGCTCCAGGTCGTGTAGGTCGCATAACCGCTCGAAATCCTGCAGGTATCCGTCTATCTCATCCTTCTCCTCGCAGAACGCTTTAAATGCCTGGTAAGGTATTTTTTGCTTTATTGGAGTGCAGAATGAGTTGGTGATGGATTCTGCCCTGGAGGTTGCTGTGCCATAATGTAGTCCTGGACGTCTGCCATCAGTATGGTCAATATGTCCAGGGGTACTGGCTGGGGTACAAATTCCAACCGGGTTCTCAGTTCCCTCTGATACGGTGTTTCCTCCCTGGCCGGTGGGGGTGGACTGCTGTGTGCTTGGTCGCCTTCCATCAGCTCTGCAATGAGTACTGCTTTCGATTTGTTGCTAGCGCTTTTCCCTCTAGCCTCCAGCAGTTCCTTTAGCGTCTGCCTCTTTAAGGCCGTGTAATCCGTCCCCATTCACTGATCGCTTTCGTCTGTTTGTTTCATACGAATTGCCTTTCTCTTTTTCCGTTCGGTTGTTCCTTTCATTTGAACGCGCTGTATTCGGCTGTAGAGTTGGATCCCGTCGCATGCCACCAATTGTAGCGGAACGCCAATATTAAATCCACGAATTCCGCTGGTTCAGGAAATAATCCACAGTCAAGCGCTGAAACAACAAGGCAATATCCCCAACCTCCCAGTAACCGGACAAGACACAGTTCTGAGAGTCAACTGAAATCCTTTAATTCGGCTGCACAATTTATACAAGTCCCCATGCAAGGGGTTTCCTGAGTCCCTTCCCAGGGGCACTCCCAGAGGGGACTACATGGGGGACTTACATTACAGCATATTTCTCCCATCAGGCACTGCTGCACGAGAGGGGTCCTCCTCCCAGAACCCACCGTTAAGTGGATTATCCCCTCGTGCAGCAGAACCGACAATTTACACAAAAATCCATAACTTGGTGAATGTACGGTGGATTTACACGAATGGACGTTCGGTAGATAGCTGGGGTCTGAGCGCATCATTCGTGAGATTACCGCTCAGATCCCAGCTAAAATAACCGAACGCCGCACGAAAAACACATTTCTTTTAAAACATATAAAAAGAACGATTGCTTTTAGGGAACAAAATACCGAATGGCCCGAAACTCCCGAACGTCCTGGAGGCTCAGCGGTGTTCGTGCCGTCGAGTAGCCGTTTTTAGTACCATGTGCTCGACGACCTAGCACCGCTGAGGGAACAAAGGATCCAAGATGGCCGACCGCCGCATGGTCGGTAGTCGAACGACGGCCACCCAGGAGAGCCTCTAATTACCGATTGCAACATTGTTGCAATCGGTTAACCAGCGCCACACGCCTCTAAGTGTGTGGGCTATTAGGGGTATTGCGTTCGGTTCACACAGGTGATTATTTCTGCTGACTTAAAGGTAGGCAGACAATGTAATAGAGCAGCAGGAAATGCTAGCAGAATGCTTGGTTGTATAGGGAGAGGTATTAGCAGTAGAAAGAGGGAAGTGCTCATGCCATTGTACAGAACACTGGTGAGACCTCACTCGGAGTATTGTACACAGTACTGGAGACCGTATCTTCAGAAGTATATTGGAAGGATATTGATACCTTAGAGAGGGTTCAGAGAAGGGCTACTAAACTGGTTCATGTATTGCGGGATAAAACTTACCAGGAAAGGTTAAAGGATCTTAACATGTATAGCTTGGAGGAAAGACGAGACAGGGGGGATATGATAGAAACATTTAAATATATAAAGGGAATCAACACAGTAAAGGAGGAGACTATATTTAAAAGAAGAAAAACTACCACAACAAGAGGACATAGTCTTAAATTAGAGGGACAAAGGTTTAAAAATAATATCAGGAAGTATTACTTTACTGAGAGGGTAGTGGATGCATGGAATAGCCTTCCAGCTGAAGTGGTAGAGGTTAACACAGTAAAGGAGTTTAAGCATGCGTGGGATAGGCATAAGGCTATCCTAACTATAAGATAAGGCCAGGGACTAATGAAAGTATTTAGAAAATTGGGCAGACTAGATGGGCCGAATGGTTCTTATCTGCCGTCACATTCTATGTTTCTATGTTTCTAAGGTTAATGATAGGCTTGATAGGATCGAGGCTTGGAGCCTTACTGTTATGTCATCTATGCCCTCAGCAACTGTACTCCCTGATGCTCCACTAATACAAACGGGTAATTACTTACCTTCTATTTCCGAAACCCACATTATTAATCCAGTGCATATGGTTCCCGCAAACATTAAGAAAGACATCTTGGAGGGGAATGATGTTAATCTTGTTGCACATCTTATCGCTTCACACAATGTTACTGAGAACCGCACTAATGCTTATGGTGATATTTCGGTGGTGTTAAAGGCCAGGGATCCCACTTAATAATAAACTGTCTATACCCGATTTTGTCATTGCATTTGGTATATATCGGGATGTAATTTGTTTGGTTTACCCGCATAGACAAGAGAAACTTGACCTTTATTTGCACAAGCTGGTGGACTTGGGAAATAAATATGGTGGGTCATCCTTTTATGATTATCACTGGTCCTTTTCGGCTAGGGCGTCTGCAATTTTGGCTCAGTACAATGTTAAAACTGACTGGAGCTGCATGGATACTGAGCTATTTTTCAGACACTTTGCCAGTGGGCTTGTGCAATTTGTGCTTCCACCTCACATGCTCTGTTATAAAGAGAATTGGAAGATGGGTTTTTGCTGGGACCTTTTCAGGCACCCCCATTTTCCAATTGGAGAACCAACCCTATTGGATTAGTCACCGGGAAATCCTCACGGAAACACAGACTCATCTTAGATCTGTCCGCATCTCAATCCTTAGCCATACCTAACCTTAACTCTCTAATTCCATCAGGAATTTTCCCTTCAGTACGCCATCATAGACAACGCCATATACACCATTATTACAGCTGGTGTAGGGGCTTGGCTGAGTAAGACAGACATCATCAATGAGTTCAAATTACTACCCATACACCCGTCGCTATGGCATCTGCATGGTCTGAAATGGAAAGGTTCATATTATTTTTTTACAAGGCTCGCCTTCGGGTTGAAAAGCAGCCCAAAAATATTCAATATCTTAGCCGAAACCTTATGTTGTCTCCTATTAAACAATTTCAGATGCCATGCAGTGATACGTTATTTGGACGACTTTTTGTTCGTGGAGAATAATTCCTCTCCTCCCAGTGATCTACCTAAGGCCATCTCATTTTTTTCATTCCTTGAGGTTGCCAGTTCCTCCCAAGAAAACAGAAGGCCCTGACACGTTGGTTAATTTTTTGGGTATCCTGCTCAATTCAGCGAGCATGGAATTAGCCTCCCCTTAGGCAAAATTTATGGTATCCTACAAACCATAAACGACTTTCTGCATAATGGGACATGCAATCGAAAGGAATTGCAATCTTTGGACTCACTAAATTTTGCAATATGCATCAATCCGCAAGGTAGAGCCTTTATTTCTAGACTCCTTTGCCTTCTTCCACTATTGCCAAATGACTTTAGCTGTATTTGCCTGGATTCACAGGCTACTGCTGATTTATTAATGTGGTGCAAATTCTTGTTGCAATGGAATGGCAGAAGTATGTTTTTACCACAATTGTCTATTCATTCTCCTGTCATTTGGATGGATACTGCAGCATCAACAGGTTTTGCTGCCATATTTGGCAATGAGTGGCTCTGGGATGGTTGGCCAGAGGAGGTTCAGCACATCAAAGGGTTCACATGCACCTCAGCCTTATTCGAGGTATACCCTATGGTTGCGGCAGCTGTGGTATGGGGTCAGTCTTGGGCAGGTAGCTCGGTACGCTGTTTCTCCGACAACCTAGCTACCTGCCACTTCATAAACAAGGGACGTTCCTCATCTCTGACGATCATGAGATTCATGAGAAGACTGACCTGGTTGGCAGCCTGTAATCAATTTATAATACTGCAGCTGACAAATTGTCTCGCTTTGAATTCCAGGCCTTCAGAGACACGTTAACCACAGCCTCCCCAACAGCCACTGCAGCACCATGTTTTCAGGAACTGGTAATAGAATAAAAGAATTAGCAAGGCATAGTCTCGCCTTGGCTAGTTTGACCCTCTCTGAGAACACAAAACTGTCTTACAATAGAGCTTTCACATTGTATAAGAGATTTATGTTAGAACATAACTTGGTTCAGTTTTATACTATTTCAACGTTGGTAGCTTTCGCATCCTTTTGTCATCTGAAACTATCACACAACACTGTTAAATTATATTTAACCAGCATCCAACACCACATGTATACCTTATACCCAGACAACCCTAGTTTTTTATCATCTTACCCCATTCAAAACATACTTAACCCCTTAAGGACCAAACTTCTGGAATAAAAGGGAATCATGACATGTCACACGTCATGTGTCCTTAAGGGGTTAAAGGCATACAGAAAACCAGTACCACTCCTCCCTTAAAATTACCAATACATAAACCGTTATTTAAAGACATGTTTGACCTATTGGATACTGCCCCGTTTGAACACACAACAAATCTGGTAATCAAAATAGCCATTTACTTGGCTTATTACAGTTTTCTTAGACCTTGCGAATTTACCATACATGGTAATAAATACGCAAGAGACTGCCTCAAACGTTCTTATCTCATTAAACGACAAGATCACTATATTTTGTCTCTACCTAAAACAAGTCAGCTTGGTAAAGTAGTGCATGTCACTTATTATCCAACTTCAAACAAATGGTGCCCTGTAAAAGTGCTGGATACATATCTCCAACCATTACCTCCTCAGTCTGACATCCCGCTGCTAGTCCTCTACAAAACTGTCTTAACAACAGCAAAGTTCATGCAGTACGTTCGCATATTATTGACCATACTAGGTCTAAACTCTAGCAATTTTTCTGGGCATTCTTTTTGGATAGTGGCAGCCTCCACGGCCTCTAGTCATGATATTCCAGTACATGTAATTAAGTCTTTGGGCCACTGGAAGTCATCGGCATTTGCTTTGTATAACCTCAACCTGTGAAATGAGGTCTGCTTTTGTCAAATTGTCATCTTGAGGTATTTTCTTTACACTATGTTTCATCAATGCAATAAATATTTATTGGGCAAGATACTGCTAATTGTATCACATGACAGGAGGCTTCATATTTGCATAATCTTTCTTTACTAAAACTCCATCAGCACAGATCAATCAAAACTTTTAAACCAATCAGAAAACAAGAGTCACTGCTATTAATTGCTCTGTGATGCAATTCCACTTCCTCTTTCTTTACTGCTCAGCCAGAGTACAGGTCAGAGTATTACTTCATCCATTTCTATCTTTTTACAATTTGTCAGTAATTCAGTTTTTTCATACTTATTTCTACTTTAATTTCTCCCCTATCCCTGCTCCTCTAACCCTACCTTCCCTCCTTTCTGCCAAGCTAACTTCCTGAGGTAACTTTCCATCCACAGTCCAATTTTGTTCGCGGATGGGTGTCTGTGTACCGTTCCGGGTAACGGGGGGGTTGGTGTTGGGGCACTGTGGAATACAGGTTTTTTTTCAATTTTCTCCGCCGCTCGCACGGACCGCAGGAGTTGTTCCCGCCAGGTCCTTGCGCTCGGTGGCCATCTTGGATTGCAGCTGTGACCCTAACTGCGGCCTTGTTTGTTTTTTCTTAATAGCGTGGGTGTGACGAGACCAATCTCGCCACATTGCATTGGAGAAGCCTGGTTGCTCGCCTGCTGCCTTTGGACTATGGCCCCCTGTTAAAAGACATCTTTTTACCTGCAGAAAAGATTTATTCGTTCTTTTCTGTCTGGTGTTCGGTAGATTCAATCTACCGAACAACCGCACGAATGACTGGACCACCTGGGAGCTGGAGTGTGCCGGCAATTAGCCTCCCTGAAGCTGCGGTTAACCGCAGCTTAATTGACCAATGCTGGGTGGCCGCCATTCGTATCACGAACACGAGGTCATGGCCATTTTAAACATGCGAATGCACAGCGGTGTTCGACGCTTAATTCATGGAAATGAAATCCAACACAGTTTTGCGCGAACATCGGTGAATCCGCCGACCTCCCTTCTTGTTCGGCGAAAGTGCGCGAACGGCCCGGTGTTCGGTAGTTTTGCTTGAATGTTTTATACCCCAGATAGGAATCCCATGGAGCTCATTCGCATGAAACTGACTGTGTAAAGACTTTAGCTCCATGGCGATTAAACTGTATTCGTGTGGTCTGAGCGCCATTCGCTTAATAATGTGCGCTCAGACCTGAGCTATCTGGAGATATGTTAAATGTATGCTTTTAATGTTATGTGTCTCACATAGTGTATTTTAATAGTAATTCGTGTGTTTGTATCCCCACGTGCATA